GGACCCCGCACCGCAGCCCCGTCCTGCGCGGTCTCCCTTTCTGCTTTCAGAAATAAAAATCGCGGCTCCGATGCCTCTTATCGCCCGCAAGTCTCCAAAATGGGCTTGCTCTTCCCCGCTCCAGGTGTGCCCGTACATAACAAGCGATGAAGCTGGGTAACAAAGTCGAAATACCGGAGGGATTTGTCTGGGACATTAGCGAGGATATATAGAATTGTAATAATAAAATCAAGTCCTTATCTCCTCTTTTGCAAGTGTTCCTTTTTTTGCAAAGCGATTTGGGACCCACCTCTGTGAACAATGCAGCGTGTTAAGAAACGGTTCTGCTAACCTGGTGATCAATTAACAGGTCAAAAAATCAGCAGGTGGTCACTGGAGAATAATACTACATACGGAAAATTAGCATTTTCACAAAGGGGTTGAAAATGCCCATTGTGCTGGATTGCTGCCATTAAAAATCTGATTCATTCTTGAAAATACAGTATCAAACTGCAACTTTATCTTCGGGTAAAACTGGAGATTTCCTTTAAGCCGCTGGTTTGTGCTTTGAGCTCTGCTGAAGAGGAGGGGCGGGGGGGGGGGGGGGTGTTTAACGAGGAAAGCCAAGTTTTGTGGTGGTTTTTCTTTTATTTACTCTTTATTTCAGGCTGCCCGAAGCTCCCGTGGTGGTGAAGGTTGGCCTGCCGGGGTGGGCAGCATCACCCTGCCCGGGCCGCGGGTTGCGCAGCCGGGGTGCGAAGGGGGAGAGGGTGCCTGGGAGCCGTGTGTGTGTGTGTGGGGGGGGGGATGTGGGGGGCGATGCCCGGCTTGTTTTTCCTTTTACGTAAGTGAAACATTATATTGGTTGTAGTGATGAAGCCCTTTTGCTGGGCTCGGCGGCATGTGACGTTTTGACAGAGCTGCTGCTCTAACCTTTGCCTCCTCCTGCTTGCCGTGGGTGGTAAGTTGATGTCAGGCTTACAATTAGGACTCTCATGCAATTGACCTTGGCAGCGGGGTTTGTGCCGTTTAGCTCGGTCTTAAACACTGTACTAGTGTTAAGTGTGGTCCGGGGCCGCCGCCTTCGCAGCCGCGGGCCGTGCCGGGGGGAGGACCGGCCGCCGCGCAGGCAGGAC